CAGCCCCGCTCGCATTCCCATTCCTGCCATGGCGGTCCGCGCCAGCTTCGAGAACAACAACGAGCTGGGCTGTTTCGCCAAGCTCACCAACGCCTATTGCCTCGTGGCCATCGGCGGCTCCGAGAACTTCTACAGGTGAGGGGGGCCCGGCCCGGCCCGGCCCGCAGCCCCGCCGGGCCCTGACGCGGCGCTTTCTCCTTGCAGCGTGTTCGAAGGGGAGCTCTTCGGGACCATCCCGGTGGTCCACGCCTCCATCGCCGGCTGCCGCATCATCGGCAGGATGTGTGTAGGTATGTGAGGTGAAGGGAGCCCCGGGGGGCTCGGGGGAACGGGGAAAGGTCGCGGGTTCAGTCGGAGCCGCAGCGGGGGCTGAGCCGAGCCGGGGAGCCCGTGGGGCAGCGCCGCTCGCCCTTGAGGGTTGATTTAATGCCTCGAGTGTGAGAGGAGGAGGAAGGATGATTTCAAAGGTCTTTTCCAACCTGGCTGATTCTGCGAAGGACGGGGAAACAGAGACTTGCCCGGGAGCCGGGGTGGAGGGTGTTGGCTCTCGGGGCCAGGGAGGCTCCAGTGCTCCTCAGTGCCGGCCCGGGTATGGGGAGGCATTAGCGAACGTGAAAGTCAGGGGAAAGCCAGTTTGTGCCTGGTGAGACCCTCTTATGTCACACCAGCTTCTTGCTTATTTGTTCCTTTAACCATTCCGTCGTGCTGCCACAGTCACACCAACAGTAGCACCGGGCCTTTTGTAGGGCAAATGGCATCTGCACGGAGAGTTCCTTGTGAAGTGTCTCACTGAGAGCCTCGGGCCTCCTTTAGTCTTGTTGGAAGAGAGAAGGGAGTAAAGATAGTGCCATTCACCCCCATTTGGTGCTTCAGCCTGGTTTTTCTTTTCCTGTGGTGCTGGTTATTTTTACATCTCCTGGGCTGAATTCTGGGCTTGGAAGGAACTCACAGAGCAAGAGCAGCTCAAGCCATGTGTGAACAGGAGGGAAGTGCTAACACACCTTGTGGAAATCTTCTTTTAATTGTATTCTATTTCTTTATGTCATTTTAGGGAACAGACACGGGCTGCTGGTCCCAAGCAGCACGACAGACCAAGAGCTGCAGCACATCCGCAACAGCCTCCCGGATTCCGTGCGGATCCAGCGCGTGGAGGAGCGGCTGTCAGCTCTGGGCAATGTCACCACCTGCAATGACTATGTGGCTCTGGTTCACCCGGATCTGGACAGGGTACAGGGCTCTGGGACGCTTCCACATTCAGAGTGGGGCTGGGAATTGCTGCCCACACTGGGGCTGGAATTGTTCCGTCCGGCTCAGCTGTGGTGAATGTGCTTTGGAGATGGGAAGGATTCGGGGGTCCTGTGTAGCATGGGACAGGACAAGGGGGAACATTTCCTCACTGACAGAGGGCAGGGTTAGATGGGATATTGGGAAGAAATTCTTCCCTGTGAGGGTGGGTAGGCCCTGGCACAGGGTGCCCAGAGGAGCTCCAAGCCCTATCCCTGGAAGTGTCCAAGGCCAGGTTGGATGGGGCTTGGAGCAACCTGGTCTGGTGAAAGGTGTTTCTGCCCATGGCAGGGGGTGGAATGAGATGAGTTTTAAGGTCTCTCCAACCCAAACCATTCTGTGATTCAGTGATCATTTGGTGCAGTTTGCTTTGGGTGCATAAAATTGAGTGAATTAGAGTGTGCACAGGTCTGATAAGGAGCGTAAGGAGGAGTGCAGTGAGGACCACAGAAGGAGTTAAAGGCTACAGCTGAGTGAGCCAGAGCATGTCATAGCTGACATCATTATATCTAATAGCATCATTACAGGGGTCTGGAAGAAAAATAGAATGTTCTTGTATGAGAAGTTGAAATAAGAGCAGGGGAGACAAAGTCACTCCTATTTTGTCTGAGAACTGGTACCTTAACAGTGTTGAGAGAGATGTGTTGTGTCCTGACAGTGTTTGCTTCCAGCTAGTGCTAAAGGTGATGAAGAAATGCGACTTGGTGGCAGGAGTGCAGAGTGAAAAATAAGGGGATGGGAGAAGGCTTTGCACTATATGTTTGTAAAAAGTAAAGTAAGATGGCCAGAGAGAGAAAAATCAAAATAATTCATGGTGAAACCTAGAGTGGAAGGAAGTTGATATAGTTATGAGAAGCATAAGACCATTTTGTCCCAGTGGATTGGGAGCAAAGAGGACTGATTTGCTGAGAATTGATACAAGTGATGTATTCCCAGCAGAGAGGAGGGATTTGGGCATTTCTCAGCAAAGGCATGAGATTGTGTTTATAGTGACACAGGAAGGTGGGAACATGTGGAGTATGGAGCTTGGCTGTGTGTGTTATCATGGCTGAGTTGAGCTGTGCAGTGTGAGAGGCTCCCAGCTGTGTGCAGGAATAGCTTGACTTCCCACTCCACAATACTGTTTAGCTAAAGGTTTTATCCTCCTTCCATTTGCAGGAGACAGAAGAGATCCTGGCAGATGTGCTGAAGGTGGAGGTGTTCAGACAAACAGTAGCAGACCAGGTGCTGGTTGGAAGTTACTGTGTTTTTAGTAACCAAGGAGGAATCGTGCACCCCAAAACTTCAATCGATGACCAGGATGAGCTGTCGTCTTTGCTGCAGGTCCCACTCGTGGTAAGACATTTGTGGAGTCTTTGCTCCTCCCATTCCCTCCCAACTCAGTTGCAATGTTTCTCCAGCTCAGGGGCTCCCATATACTGTTTTTCTGTGAAGTGATTCTGAGAGGGAGGTGAGGAGAAGACTTGAACCAAGTCTTCCTGATGGTTTCCTGTCTTTCCTGAGTCTGAATAAGCTACTCAGTGCTTTTAGCTGCCTTCTGAAATGTTGCTCTGCTGGGATTGTGTACACTGTGCAGATAAAGAATGTGAGGCTGTTTGTGGTTTGGCTGAAGCCAGTGTTTAAAAAGATTAAGTAAGAATGTGCCTACTCAGTTGGATGTGTGAATGCTGTTATCCTTCCTGCTTATTGGATTCTCTTTCACTGAAAGCCACACCAGTTTCTCACCAGAGAGTCAAGGCTGATCATTAATCATTTTATCTGACACCTTCAGGACCTTGCTGGTGGCAGAGTTCCTGTCTTCAGCAGTGTGAGCTGAGCCACCCAGCAAAGACCTGTGCCAGGGCTGTGTGAGGAGCTGTGCCAGCTCCTGCTCACGGCTGCTGTGTCCTGGCAGGCAGGGACGGTGAACCGCGGCAGCGAGGTGATCGCAGCGGGGATGGTGGTCAACGACTGGTGCGCCTTCTGTGGGCTGGACACCACCAGCACCGAGCTCTCTGTCATCGAGAGCATCTTCAGGCTCAACGAGGCTCAGCCAAGCACCATTGCCACCAACATGAGGGATTCCCTGATTGACAGGTAGGGAGGATCCACCTCCAGGCAGAATCATGATCAAAACAGTCAAGATTGTATTATAAAAGCAGCTGATTTCACAGTTGATCTATCCACTTTAATTATCATTTTTTCACTCCTCTTCCCTTTTGTTGGTTACTGGCAGCAATTGCTCACTGGGTTATGGAATGTTTTGTTGCAATGAGAATCCTTTTTATGAGAATTAACATCTGCTTCAGGTGGCAGATTTTCTTCCCTAACTGTTCAGTGCTCAACCATGACATGAATGGGTTTTTTAAAACAAATCTTACTTTAAAAGTTAAAATACCAGTGATTTTGTTTGCCATCTTGGCTTTTGATCACTGTAGTTATTCAACTTATTTCAGATATTTGCTGTAACCGTTTCTGGAGCCAGAAAAACTGGAACT